TGATGTACTTTGTTAACATCAGATCAGTCGGACACATCAAGTAACTGCCTGATTATTGTGGTCGTGCAGCTATGCTCTACTCTTTCTGGAAACATCACACAATCGAAGCAGCAAAGCCTCTCTCTTTTGAGACATAGCTCAGTAATTGTGCTGACTACTCTCAAATGAACATGCAGAAAGATACTTATAATATCTTTATACAAGGAAATATGGTATAACTAATGTAGCTGCATGCAGTGAATGAAAGAGACAATCAAGGCGCTCTCACCTACATGAAAATTAGCCAAATAGGCAGTTTAGATCCCATAAAGACCAATTAAGCACATAAAACCAATTCTTTGAATAAATGCCAATTATGATGCTTGACTGAATATAAAGTATCTGGAGAACAAAATGTGAATGTGACTACTTATATCCTATGTGTGACAATTGCCATATTTTCCATGGAGCCTATCACAAAACTGCCATTTACATCTCTAAACTAAATGTCATGATAATGTCAACAAAATGAGGATAACTATGCTCTAGACCAAATTAGTACATAAGTGTGAAAATATGGAAATTTAAATGTGAATGCTCATATCTCACTACTGATATCAAAAGCCTAAAGGCATAATGCAAATGACAAACACAGAAAATTAAATAGCTTGAATGCTACATAAGCCTTTGAAAAATAACTACTCAAAGGTACCTGTAGATGCAGTCGTTTTATAGAGAAGCAGACAGAAGGCACAATAACCACTACAAGCACATCTGCAGGGCAGCCATAAAGACCCTGCAACAAATGCATGCCTCTAAAAAGAGTGAGTCTTTCTGAAGCTCAAAGCAGAAAAGCAGAAAGTGGACTGACAACCAGTCAGCAACAAGGGCAGCTTAGTCAGCTTGCTGACATTTGCCAAGCACAAACAGACTGTCCTGAGCCAAGACCTCTACTAAAAGCACAAGCAGTAACATCTACTAAAAGCACAAGCAGCAAATACTTACCTTAGTTTCCCGGCATCTTCGCAGTAAATGTACCCCTTGAGAAAAGTCACCATGATCCCATGCTGCCAACAGCACAGTCAGGTTTCAGCTGTGGTCAAGTCCGAGCACTGGTGTGAATAATGAGGGCAACCAGAGAAAACTGCCAGGTTACAAAGGCCATCGTGCAGACCTGTGTGAATCATTAGATGTTACTAGTTCTATAAGTGCTGCGCAGTCAATCCCCTCATTTCAGATACAATGCTCATCGAGTCATTTAATGGAAGAATGTTGAAAATACAAACTTACCGGAGGGAAAGTGAACTTCTCAGCAATCTACAGGATGAAAAAAAGTGAATGTCAGTCACAAAAAGCAAAACTTACTCTGATAAGGTTACAGTGATTTCCATTAAAGTCAAAAGACCTTTCTGACAACTGACATTTTGACTTGTCAAGTGAAATTAATTTTGTTATGATGGCTCAGTTCCTGTAAGTTGTCCCAGAAAGCCATACCAATGAGCCAGCACGCAGAGTAGCAGGGCCCTGCAACCGAAGTGGAATGTATTTCTTGACGATATTAATTGAACCTGTGTTGTTCCTGTATGACATGTCAAAATGGCAGCTGTAAAAGATGGTTCATCATTTATTCCTTGCTTACCTGCTGCTCAGTGCTGCCTCCGGTGGCTGGAGACTACAATGAAACAGTCAACAGTCCTCCAGTGGAGTGCCTCAGGGATGATGTTTTCCTGTAGACCGATGCAGAAGTTAGTATCGCATTAGATCCCTTGTCAAAAAGGGAGTGAGATTTTGGATCATTGCAGAAAATAATACAATAATACACATTTTATTTAGCAAGATAATCTTCACAAATGAACACCACTTTCATGATTATTGAAGCCTAAATGCAACCGCCAGAAGTAAAAAGCTAAAGTTAAGCTATTAAAAAAATAAAAATAAAAATACTGTTGCACGATATAACATCCCCACCACAACCAGGCTGTAAAGCCGTGTTTTGGTGTGATGACATTCTTATTAAGCCACTTGTTAGCACTTGCCTATTTTTAAGACACATAGAAGCTTAAAAGTTCAAATTATGTATTTTATGTTGTAGAACAAAACATGAAAGCTTGAGTTAACTGTTAACATGCTGACATTCAGCATAACATTTGGCATTATAGTGAACACTAGACCGCTTAAATAGAGATGTAGTGCAACGCATCATACTATGAAAACCACGCCCACCGGAGGGGAAAACTATTGGCAGCACAATATCCAACCAGGGACTGAAACACTAACAAAATGCCTGTAGCTCACTAAAAACACTGGACATCAGCATGTCATAGAATTATTTTAGTACCTAATGAGTACCGGAGAGAGAGAGAGAGTTACACTGACCAACATAATATAGTCAGCCAACTCAGTGTCCCTTCTCCTTACCATGCTTATTTGGAGAAATAGTCCCACTGAGTGGCCAGTATTTACTTCAATATTTACACTATATTTTCACTAGTTTTCATCATTTAAGCTAACAAAGATCAAAAGCCTCCAATAATCAGCCTCCACAGTTTGTCTGGAGAAATAAGTAAAACACTTGCTGCACGTAGGCATATAGAGTGTCAGGATCTCACAGTTTTCCCATATCTTCCTGCTGATGCCTCACATCTTGTTGCTTAAAAGCTCAGTCTTTTGGTACAGCAGCTTGTAAAAACTTAGTTATGGATGTTTTACCATGTTGGTAGTGCATCCCACCACAGATCAGCTTTTAGGTATTTTGTGTTGCTTGCCAGCAGATGGCAATGACAAGTAGGCACTTTCACGCAATACAAAATCAGTGGAGAGCGATGAATTGTTTTCCCCTCCGGTGGGGGCGGGACTTAAATGTGCTCCGTCTCCATAGCTGAAAGTATTTGCTGTGTAAAGTTAAAAATTCACCACCATGTTACTAATGATTGGGGGCTACTGAAATCACTAATGGGCCCCCTCTGGTGCCTCTTTTCCACTTATATGGAACTGGTTCTGTTCCAGTTCCCGCACCAAATTTTGAACCATTTAAACATTTAGACGAAAAAAAGAAATTGGTTCAGAACTCTAAAAGTCAGTTCTCAGCTGGAACCAAAAAATAGCAGGTTTCTGTTGACCTGAAGTGTGAACGGTAATGACATCAGTGGGCGTGTCATATTCTACAGGTCGAATAGAGAGGATGGAGAGGGCAACAATGGAGAAGTCAAGGGAGAGATTAAAAAAAAAAAGAGTGTGCAGGGACGCCGGTGGCTTGGTGACGGGGCGGGCGCTCCATGTGCAGGGCTGTTGCTGCAGCAGCCCGGGTTCAAATCCAGCCTGTGGCCCTTGCCGCATGTCATCCCCCGTCTCTCTCTCTCCCCCTTCACGCTTACCTGTCCTGTCCAATACAGGCAAAATGGCCAAAAAATATCTTTAAAAAAAAAAAAAAAAAAAAAAAGAGTGTGTGGTAGTCTCATTAGTCATTGACCCATCCTTGTTTTTTGGGTAAGACTTTGATGCAAGCACAGGTGTTTGTTACCTGCAAGGCATGTCTGCCTGTCACACCTCCGCCGGAGACAGCGGGCCAGCCGCAGGGTCATCAGCTGGGAGCCACTTTTCACAGATCTTTCGCCCCTTGAATGTAAGAACATTAGTAGTGGCAGGGACGTCTCCCCTCCGCTCCATGCAGCCGGCCCTAGGATCCCTGGTTCCTCCACTTTGGGTGTCTTCTTATCTGTATCAATAAAACAAAAGTTTGCAGGTAGTCAATGTGATGGTTTTGCTTCTATTCTTTACTTCAGTTGTGCATTGTGCGGTGGCTTCTGTCGATGACACATCCTTGGTTAAAATGGTACCGCTAAAATTGGTGGAAATGCAGGCTGGTGTAAAGGGGGTATGGGTTACTCTTGTTTGCTAACAAGGGGAACCTGTCTCAGTATGAAATTTGTCTCCATTATTCCCACATTTTCTGTCTGATTAGCATAGCTAGCTTAGTCACCCATACAATGCAGCTTTTATACATTTCATGACATTGCCAGCCACTTCAATACATACAGTAATTCCTTACACAGAATAATTGTATGCCTTAATAGTAACTAAAAATAAATTCCCTGGGGATATCATAGTTATTTTTTGCCTTAAGTCCAAAAGTTACTGCCCTTTTTTAGGGGGATATTTTGCTGTTATAACACTAGAGGGTGTGGTTAGCAGTTCTGTAGCCTGCTGGTTTTTGCTCTGGCAGTTACAAGTTGTCATGGAAATGGCAGGGTAATATTTTCAGTGATGAGCCAGGTGCACTGATTGAGCACACTCTAAATGTCACATCACCTGGTCGGGAATACTTGTTGTGTTACTAGCTTTGTAAAATGTCTTCAGAAACATATATTTGAGATGAAATGCTAAAGAAAAACCTGCTGTTTTTTGGTTTCAGCTGAGAACCAATTTTCCGGGTTCTGTACCAACTTATTTTTTGTCCAAACGCCCTAAACAGTCCAAAATTAGGTGGAGGAACTGGAAATGGCTGCCATACCGCTTCCTGTACTGTACAGGGGGGCTGAAAAAAATATCAAACACTACAACTAAGCAGTACTAATAAAATATAGACCAAGATTCTGTAACCGCGGTTGCCTAGTTCTCGCCTACAATGTTTTCGGAAGCATATTTTCCTTACCATTAACCGTAATTCCAAATTGTTTGTTGCGTTACCAGCCGCCCGCCATGTTGTTTCCATTGGAATAACGGCCAAACTTATTCTTCATCAACCAACACCTGCGAGCTGGTGCTGCAAAGCATTCTGGTAGTTGTAGGTTTCTACCTCTTAGGGCAAAAGGAACCGCCACAGCTCTGTTTCCTCTGTTTTCTCTGGTTATGTAGCACCAGTTTTAAAACGAACTGCGTCTTCTACTTCCTAGTTGTATGAAAAGACCATTTCCAGCAGTGAAATACTTTTTTAAAATTATACATGTAGGCTCTGATATGCGCGTGTCCCGAAGTAGTTGTACTGTCCCTTTAAGTATGAACGCGGCACGCGCCCACCAATCACGTGACACAATAAGGAAGTGAACTGTAACGTTTCACCAAAGCGGTTTGTCGTTTTAAACATATTAAAATAATAATATGCTCTTACTGCTAAGGTTAATACGTACTCATCGGGACGTGAAATATAGCAATGAATAGGAAATGACGTCAGCAGTCCTCTGTGTGCATGTTCATGTAGCGTTGCGTCAGGACAACATGTTTGTATCGCTCCTGATTTATACTTTATTAACGTTACTGTTTCCTCTTGGACATGCATCTCTGCCTGTCGTTATCAATACCTGGCCATTCAAGAATGCAGCGGCTGCAGGTAGGTTACATAGTATTTTGTTTATCCTGCTTGTTTACATGGAAATACTCCAAAAGTTCAACTCAGTCTCGAGTTCAGTCATGTGACATCATTGCCGAAATCTGCAGACATACAAATACAGTGCCACAAAAATATATTTGAGGATGTTGGTTATTTATTTTTATTGTTTTAAACGCCAACATATTAATCACAGAGACAGATCAGGTCAGTCACAACAAACTCTATAATACTAATAAAGGTTACTCTCCTATTTAATGTGAAGATGATAACATTAACGTTAGTTTGGTCATGTAGCCTGCTTGTGCTCCCACTGCAAAACAATATCTTTATTTCTGTCTCTGTTTTTCTGAAAAGTAGCCGTCACAATAAAGATTTTATTCATGCCTGAATAACTCTCACAGTGCAGATTACTGAGCCAGAGAGTCTAACAACAAATACATTATTCAAGCCATTTCATAAGGATGTAAACACACCAAGTGCAATTATTTAACTTTGCAGGGAGAGCATTACAAGGTGAGCCATGACATTTGAGAGAGAAGCAGAGGTTGTCTATTATCTGCCCTCCTGCTGACTGTCTGATAAGACTTGTTATTCTGGGATATAGTCTGCTCTGTGCACTGTGAAATGCATCTGCTTTAAATTCTTAAATAACAGCTACATGTCTAACAGGGGTGTCAGTTGCAGAGCAGTAGCTGTATAGTGTTATAACTGAATTTAGGAGCATATAGTCATAGCTGTGCACACTGTAATTTTGCAAACTAATAGATTAATCACCATGCTAAAGATGTAATTGAATAGTGGTGTTCTGGTAGGTCTAGTTGTACTGACTAAATGAATAAGTGATGGACTCTTTATTTAATTTTTTCTGGAGCTTTTATTGATTTTCATAACAAATATATAAAAAAAGGAAACAACATATTTAACTCACAAACCAGCAAAGATATCTATGCAGTGTGAGAGAAAAAAGGACAAAAAAGGTGAAAATTGAAATAAAGTCAAATAGAATAAAAAGAAAAAAGGGATTATGCATAGCTTAGTGAGATGAGTGTAGAGCAGTGGTTCTCAAATGGTGTGCCGCGATGCAGATCCAGGTGTGCCGTGGGATTTTGTGATGACCGCACATTATTATTGCAATATTAAACTGAGCCTATACAAAAAGTTTTGAGTGAATTTTTAATTTACTGTATCAGTATGTTGTGCAAAGAGGCAAACTCTTCCTAAAAAAAATTATTTAATTTAATTTAATAAAAAGAAAGTCACGGGGAACCCACTTGTTGCTGATGACGTGGGAATTAATAGTGTGTGACACATCACATGATCTTACATTATTTCCCATTTAAATGGATGTGTAACTGGTGCTTTGATGTAATTTTAAAAAGTTTAAAATGAATTCTTGAATCATTTTGTAAGAAATATTTTGTGAGTAATGGATAGTTGTTAATTGTTATTTGATTTTAGTAAATAAAGAAACATTTATGTTGTGATAAGAGTGGCTATTGTGCACAGATATAAATACAGGTGTGCCTGGAGAATACAGCTCAAGCCATTTATCCACTAGAGTAATACATAAAGGGAACATGCACCATTCATGTTGCTTCTAGAGTATGTCTCAAGATTCTAGGGAAAGCAGGTATTTCATTAACTGTGTCCAGTATGACTGTCCACAATTGGTGTTTCTCATTAAAAACTTAAAAATTAGATGCAGCTCCCTCCATGGAGACTGTCTCCAAGAATTTTTGAAGTCACAGTCCCTCTTTCAGCTGATCTGTATCCCTCTAATTTGTCGCTATCAGTCTTGTAGGTGTCATGCATCCAGTTGTTAAATTTTGTTTGTTATGTTTGGACCGGTTTCCTTTAACAGTGTAACTCAAAAGACACATTGCTGTATTACAACAAACAGTATAATGATGGACTCTTTAATAATAATAATTATTAATAAATTCACTGGGCTTAAAAGGCGATGTTTTTTTTTTTTTTTTTGCATTTATGATTCTTTTGCTTATTTAAAACATTTAATTCCTGATTAGAATTCTGATTAAATGTTCTGTTGTTAGATCTGAAACAATTAGTCAAGCCACACGAAAATATTTTCATTTATCGTTTGTTTCTGTCACTTATAAATTAAATATATCAGCTATTCTCTGCTTACAGCTTCTAAAATGAGCTTGATGATCTCCTTTGGCTTTAGAGGGTATTTTTCCATAATTCCTGCCATCTTAAAGACCAAACGATCAATTAAATAATAAAGAAAAAGACCTGCAGATTAAATGACAATAAAAAATACTGAAATATTTATTTTTTATCTAATTTACACCCTTACTGATTGAACTCTATGACTATTTTCCATCACGGAAGCAGACAGAGTGAGTGTGCAGTGAGTGCAGTTCCTGGCAGGCTCCATAACTATAAGTATTTTCAGGATTTCCCCCCTCACACTATTATAAAGTGCTTTTTGTATCCCTGTGACTCCACTGCAGCTTAACGGTACAACTATGTACAACCGTCAGAGCCCAAGATGGGGATAGGAAATGGGCAGAACCCACTAGGCTTCATAACTGCCATTGCCAGGTCTGCCCTAACTCTATTTGATTTCCTTCAGGATGATACATTGGACATGTTCAAATTGAAATTGAAAATATTTCAGCATTGCTTGTGACTTATCTGTCAAGTGGATTTCCACCAGGTGCACACAGCTCAAACCCCCCCCCCCCCAAAAAAAATATGATAGAAACGGTGTTCAAAACATCTCAAGCAACACATCAAAACCTGCAGGTGATTAAAGTTAACTCAAAACATCTCGCCATTTGATAGATGGATACCCTTTAATTTATCAGATGTACATCACCTCTTCTCCTAGAGGTGGGTGTGAAAATGAAAAATGTACCCAGCTATCTGTTCTGTGGGTAGATATTTAAAAGTGTAGTCTGTGAAGCCCCTACTATTGATCCGTCCATGCAGATCTCTTTTCCTTAGGGGGCTTACAGAAGCAGCTGACAATAGCAGGCTAATCTCCTCTTCCATTCTGCTGCATTTTCTAAGTGGAAAGGATTGTAATGCTGAGTTTGATATATTAAAAAAAAAGAATTATATCCCGAGACAAGAGCACTTAGCAAAGATGGTAGACGGACAGAATTTAAAGATGGATAAATCAGAAATGATAGGAGGAGGAATTTGTGGCAGGATCCTGCTGAACACAGTGTGATGGTCTGAGAATTTGGTGGCAAGCTGGTGACAGTGCTACCAGTTGGTATTTTGATCCCCCATGGGCACTTGGGGGATCAGTGACCAAATGCTTGTCAGCCCACACCCCCTCTTTATTAGGGATCCATGGCACTGGTCATCCTGTGCAACATCTGAACCTTTAACTCATCTGCCCAGATATGTTAATTTGATTAATAGATTTGATTTATTTAATTATTTCCCCAACATATTCAACATTTTTAAAAATCACACTCTCCCAGAAAAGCATTATTTTTGTTTAGTATATATAGGATAAGATTACTTTTTGAAACCCCAATTCAAAACAGATTTATAGTATAGAACATACTTAACTAAACCTAAGCAATATCTAGTTTGCAAAAATGTTTGTGGTGTCACATCATTTTATATTAGGTGTCAAAAATGCTTGAAAACAAGATGTAAATTGTGTCACAGAAAAGTTTTCTCAGAACAGGACACAAACTTACTTTCTCAGCATGGTTGGTTATAAGTGACCTTATCTTATTTCTCCTACGATGAAGTTAAAGGGACAGTTCACCCCAAACTCAAAAATACATGTACTTCCTCTTACCTGTAGTGCTTCTTCGCACCATTTTGCACCTTACTGTCAACTATTTTTGTTATCGTGTACCTTACCATCTTTTTATATTGCATGGCTATCAAGGGATAAATAACATTGGGTCTTACTTATCAGTCTAGACTGTTTAGGAGTGAGTTGCCGTGCATTGGAGATGTCAGCCGTAAAGATATCTGCCTTCTCTCAAATGTAATTGAACTAGATGGCACTCAGCTTGTGGTGCTTAAAGTGCTTAAAAATACATTTAAAAACAGCAATGTCTCTTTCCCGGAATCATGACCCGAGTTATTCAAGATAAACCACAGACCTTGAGTTTCACATAGGAACTATTTTCTTTGTTTCTACTGAACTTAAATGAACCGAGTTTTCAACGTGTGGCTCCGGAGACAGAACGGGTGATCCACTAATTGGAAGCACTTCGATCCCTGTCTCCTCCAGTCTGCATGTCAAATTATCCTTGGGCAAGATACCGAACCCCAAATTGCTCCTGATGGCCGTTCCATTGTTGTGTGAGAGCTTGTGAATGGTTGCTGAGTAGCAGGTGGCACCTTGTATGGTCGCCTTGGCCACCAGTGTGTGACTGTGTGTGTGACTCATAGTCTAAAACACTTTGAGTGGCTGAAAGACTAGAGAAGCAAATGCAGTCCTTTTACCATGTATACTAAAAGACTGTTGTCTCTGGCAGGTAATATTACATCTGATGCCTGTCAAACTTTATTTGAAAAATAGCAGCTTTTGCCATCACACAGAAGATTAAGAGTCTTACAGGCTCGACTGAACAGGTTGAGGAACTCCTTTGTTCCTCAGTCTGTCAACCTGTTACATCAGAGTATGGTTTCTAAACCTCAGTGTACCCAAGTCGAACACTGAATGTAATAGGAATGATAACTTTGTTGCACTGTTTCCTCATTTTGTAATGTCTGAAGTGAACTGTAGTGTTTGTAGTGTGGTTTTGTGTATTTATGTGTATTACTGTGATACAGTAGGCGGCAAGGTGGTGCAGTGGTCAGCATTGTCGCCTCGCAGCAAGAGGGTTCTTGGTTTGATTAACTGGTGACTAACTTGGCCGGAGATGTGAATGTGAGCATGAATGGTTGTGTCTCCATGTGTCAGCCCTGTGATAGTCTGGCGACCTGTCCAGGGTGTACTCTGCTTCTTGCCTAATGTCAGCTGGATAGGATCCAGCCTTCCTGTGACCCCTAAGAGGATAAGCAGTTACAGAAAATGAATGAACTCTGAAACCACTGATATCCTGGGATGCTATATGGGAATTTAAATTTGAGATTTTTTTCTGATCATGAAGTGAAAACAAATCAAAAGAACAGCACCCACCAACTGTTACACTGCACAGTAGGAAGCGTACATCTACTGCGAGCTCACCTAGCACCTCTGAGCTAGCTAACGTTACAGCTCAGCAGAGGAGGACACAATTAATGTTTAGATCTCACTGTCAAAAGCCTCTTGTGCATGAGTAGATGCACTCTTCCTTCTGTGCAGTACAGTTAGCAAGTGTAGTTCGGTAAAAAGAAAATACTTCCTATTTGAAACTGCTTACAACAAGGTCTGTAAATTATCATGAGTAATCGGCTAATGACTTTTTTGGACAGAGGCATTGCTTTACATTATATTTTTTGATCCTTGCTTTGAACACCACAAGCTGAGTGTCATCTTGTTGCATTATATTTGAGAGAAGGCAGACATCTCCAGCACTCGGCAACTCACACCAAAACAGTCTAGGATGATAAATAGCACTACAGGTAAGAGGAAAAATAAGTATTTTTGATTTTGGGGGTGACCTGTCCCTTTAAGCTGCCAAATATTTTGTGGAATACAACAGCATGGCCAAAGTCACTGTAATATTATTTCACTGGTGGAGGGTGTTTACCTCTTATCCAGGGTGTAATGTGTGTCTTGTAGTGTATCATAATACCGAATGTCTCTCTGTGTTGTGTTCCATCCTGTAGCATGGAGCGCCCTGCAGTCCGGTGGCTCAGCATTGGATGCGGTGGAGAAGGGATGTGCCCGCTGTGAAATAGAGCAGTGTGATGGTTCTGTCGGTTACGGAGGGAGCCCAGATGAGACCGGAGAGACCACGCTGGATGCCATGATTATGAACGGGTAAAACGTGGTCATAAAAAGCACTTTTATTGAAAGTAAAAAAAAAATAGGGAATGAGATTGTAAAGGATATTTGTAATGTAGCATATTGAAGCAGTTGATTAAGCAGAAGATTGGTAACATGGAAAATGTATGTAGGCTATTGGAGTTTAACAGCTGTTTTGTTTTTATCTAGCTGCCAGATGTGCAACATAAATGCAGCTGTGGAAGACAAAATAAAAATGTTTGTTTGTATGTTTGTAGCAAGTAAACAGTTTAATCTCAGCAATGCTCTCACTCTAAATTCCTTCAAATTGAGAAAATATAAGCATAAAATGTCCATAAATGAACAGAAACGACGCGTATTTAATTAAAAATGATCACTCTCATTAGACACCTGCAGCTGTCATACTGTTACCATTACAATTTGTGCTGGTGCTGTCTGTGCATCTTTAACATTTACAGCTATTACTGGTTGACCTTTCCAGCCGGCCGTCCTTTAATAACGCACTAATTAAGATTCTCATTAGGATCTGAAAGCTTGCCCGTTATCAAGTCCTTAGCTACAAACATTTACACACTCAAAAGTTATCGTGGGAGGCAAATGTCAGCTCACAATGACACACAAAAGGCAAGCAGCATGCTGTTTGGTTTGTTGTTACTCCGCGGCATGCTCCTTCTTCTATTTTGCAGGAAAATTGACTTTTTTATTTTGGTTAGTCATGAATACATTGATGGTGGAAAGAGAATAGTCTCCCACACACAATCCAATATAGCTGCATGAGAAATACAGCTGCTATCACGAGCAGACATAGTATGACAAGAATGAAAACACCTGCACAGTTTAATGTAATCCAATAGAACATCCCTGCAATAAATATGAGCTCTGTAAAACTTGAAACAAGGTTCCCACGTTTTCAGGGACAAAATTTCAAAACCTTTGCCATGACTTTTCAAGTCAAATGACAGGGCTGTCCATTTCTATGAAAGTCAGACCCTGCACAAAGGAGTGAGATGGTATATCCTTCATAGAGTATGAGCTTTGGAATGAACAATTTCACACTTTGTACCACTTCCTGTGTCCACGATGTGGCACTGGAGAACTCACTATTTAAACGTCATGTTGCGGTTTCATGTAAATCAAAAGATAATTGTCTGACAAGTCTTACTTCCTGTTGCCAGTAGGTGGCGCAATCACCATGACACCTAATGTGCATGTTGTTTGCTTTGGGTCTGGAGCATCATTAAACATTTGAAGTTTGGGGCAGATTGGACCATGTAGGCTGGAGTTACAAACCACTTCCTGTTTGGTGGAGAAATACTGACATTTGACACCTCGCCATGGTCACATGGTTCTACGAAAACCCAAGCTATAAACATATCCAAGGGGTTTAGATGGTACAGAAAAAATTTGACTGCAGTCGGATAATAGAAAATAATAATAATAATGATAATACAAATCTTGCCCCACTTGCCCAACATTTTTCAAACATAGAAATTTCAACCAGCTGGCATATATGGAGGGAGAGACAGATTAACATTTATGTTAATGTAAACAGAATGTCACAGCTATATTAGAGCTATGTTACATCAACAGCTACAGAAAATAAATTAGTCATTACGTTGCGTTGCGTTACGTTACGTTACGCTGCGTTGCGTTGCGTTGCGTTGCGTTACGTTACGTTGAAGGTAACCCATGGAAGATTACTGTAACAATTTCATTACACAAAACAAAATTCCACGACTTTTCCAACACGTTCAATGACTTTTACTAATTCCATGACTTTCCCAGGCCTGGAAAATGTGAGTTAAATTCCATGACCATGGGAACCTTGTTGAAAGTATTATGTTACTGTTTTTATACTACATCTTGGTGAATTCAACTCAACTTTATGGCAAGATGGAAAGTTAAAGTTGTTGTGAGGAATAAATATTAGAGACACCTTACTATGATGCAATTCATTACATCACCACAACAAACTCCAGCCTCTCAGGTTTAACAGATTTACTATTAATCACAAGGCATTTCGAGTAAATTGCATCACACAGTAAAGGGGGTGCTATTTTTCTGTATTTCTCTGTGTAATTAGCAAATATCACACGCTGGGTATTTTGACGTCAGCCTGAGTAGAAATTTATAGGCTTGACTCAGTGTGCTTATTAGCTAAACTCATCCACAATATGGAAGAGATACCAGAGGTCAGGTTACCTTTAAACAGTGACTAATTGTGTCCAGTGCTGATTTTCTGTGTATTCTCTGTCACCAGAGATACCATGGAGGTGGGCGCAGTTGCAGACCTGAGAAGAATCAAGAATGCCATTGGGGTAGCGAGAGCTGTGATGGAGCACACTGAGCACACACTGCTGGTGGGAGAGTCAGGTACGTGTGGATTAACGTTCACAAAAGTTTCTGTGGAAAAAAAAATCATGGTTAATAATGAAAGAGATAATCTTAACATTTTTAAATCTTTACTTGAAAATTCATATTTACCATTGAATAGTTGCTTATTAGCATACATATACTTTTTATTTTGTCTCTGCGCCAGCGATACCTGTAGCCAGACGCATTGTGTTTTCAGGTTGTCTGTCTGTCAGATTCTCAAGGACATACCACATAGGCCCCCTGTACTAGCAAATGGTACGAAAAAATGTTTCTGTAATTTCTCTGCAGGGTCCTTTTTTTTAATATGTGCAGCTTTAAAGAGAGTGAATGAAGTGTGTTTTAAAGAGACAGTTTGGTATTTGAATTTGCATTAGTTATTTTTCATCAGACGGCCAAAACATCTTAGGCACTCGATCACCAACATCCGCAGTTAGTGATGAAGGCATGGGTCAGAGCCACATATAACGCTCTTACCATATGTAAAATGATGAACAGTGCCCAGAAAGGACACATAAATAAGAGCGTCCCTTCAGTTTGTATGTGAGGGCGGTAATTGAATAAAGGAGCACATCTTTGCAAGTAATTTAAACAGAAGTGAAGGCCACTATTGAAACTTTTCATTCGACAGTCATAAGTGACTTGTAAATTAAATAATATGGTTCATACAGTACAGGCCAAAAGTTTGGACACACCTTCTCATTCAATGCGTTTTCTTTATTTTCATGACTATTTACATTGTAGATTCTCACTGAAGGCATCAAAACTATGAATGAACACATGTGGAGTTATGTACTTAACAAAAAAGCTGAAATAACTGAAAACATGTTTTATATTCTAGTTTCTTCAAAATAGCCACCCTTTGCTCTGATTACTGCTTTGCACACTCTTGGCATTCTCTCCATGAGCTTCAAGAGGTAGTCACCTGAAATGGTTTTCCAACAGTCTTGAAGGAGTTCCCAGAGGTGTTTAGCACTTGTTGGCCCCTTTGCCTTCACTCTGCGGTCCAGCTCACCCCAAACCATCTCAATTGGGTTCAGGTCCGGTGACCGTGGAGGCCAGGTCATCTGCCGCAGCACTCCATCACTCTCCTTCTTGGTCAAATAGCCCTTACACATCCTGGAGGTGTGTTTGGGGTCATTGTCCTGTTGAAAAATAAATGATGGTCCAACTAAACGCAAACCGGATGGGATGGCATGTCGCTGCAGGATGCTGTGGTAGCCATGCTGGTTCAGTGTGCCTTCAATTTTGAATAAATCCCCAACAGTGTCACCAGCAAAACACCCCCACACCATCACACCTCCTCCTCCATGCTTCACAGTGGGAACCAGGCATGTGGAATCCATCCGTTCACCTTTTCTGCGTCTCACAAAGACACGGCGGTTGGAACCAAAGATCTCAAATTTGGACTCATCAGACCAAAGCACAGATTTCCACTGGTCTAATGTCCATTCCTTGTGTTTCTTGGCCCAAACAAATCTCTTCTGCTTGTTGCCTCTCCTTAGCAGTGGTTTCCTAGCAGCTATTTGACCATGAAGGCCTGATTGGCGCAGTCTCCTCTTAACAGTTGTTCTAGAGATGGGTCTGCTGCTAGAACTCTGTGTGGCATTCATCTGGTCTCTGATCTGAGCTGCTGTTAACTGGCGATTTCTGAGGCTGGTGACTCGGATGAACTTATCCTCAGAAGCAGAGGTGACTCTTGGTCTTCCTTTCCTGGGTCGGTCCTCATGTGTGCCAGTTTCGTTGTAGCGCTTGATGGTTTTTGCGACTCCACTTGGGGACACATTTAAAGGTTTTTGCAATTTTCCAGACTGACTGACCTTCATTTCTTAAAGTAATGATGGCCACTCGTTTTTCTTTAGTTAGCAGATTGGTTCTTGCCATAATATGAATTTTAACAGTTGTCCAATAGGGCTGTCGGCTGTGTATTAAACTGACTTCTGCACAACACAACTGATGGTCCCAACCCCATTGATAAAGCAAGAAATTCCACTAATTAAACCTGATAAGGCACACCTGTGAAGTGGAAACCATTTCAGGTGACTACCTCTTGAAGCTCATCGAGAGAATGCCAAGAGTGTGCAAAGCAGTAATCAGAGCAAAGGGTGGCTATTTTGAAGAAACTAGAATATAAAACATGTTTTCAGTTATTTCACCTTTTTTTGTTAAGTACATAACTCCACATGTGTTCATTCATAGTTTTGATGCCTTCAGTGAGAATCTACAATGTAAATAGTCATGAAAATAAAGAAAACGCATTGAATGAGAAGGTGTGTCCAAACTTTTGGCCTGTACTGTATGTCAAAAGAAAAATGTTTTTTTTCCTTCAGTGAGATTCAGTTCATTAAATCAAATATTCATCTCTCCATCAATTGAAACATCATTCTTATTGGAAGCATAAGGTCACTGCTTTTCAAAACAGCAGCGTTGTAAGACTTGTCCTCCATCATGCGCCAAAGCTACAAGCCCAAATGAGATGAGATTGCCTCCAGCCCCTCCTTTGTTTGTGACCCTTTGTTTTCTTATAACCCAAGGTCAGTGTGGACTAGAATGTGTAACTTGACCTGAAAGTATTACTTCTCTCTTTATAGCGTCTGTGTTTGCTGAAAACATGGGCTTCATCGCAGAAGACCTGACTACCAACACATCTGTGAATATTTTCTCACAGTGGCTGAAGGGCAACTGCCAACCTAATTATCGAAAGGTGTGTGTATGTATTAGAGTGTGTGTGTGTTTTTCTCACTTGTGTTGGCTACAGGCATGCTGCCTCTAAAAGATTGATAATAAGCGGAAAAACTGACAGGCATACTAAAGGAGTTCATAAAAAAGTCAGCTTTTGAGGTAGAGGTGATGCCCTACAGCGCCGAGGTGTTGCTGTTCTTTAAAACGAACCTGTTCACTTCCTCAATAACGCCCCTAAATCTCCAGAATAAGATTTCTTTTTCCTTTTAAGTCAGCTGTTATTGTTCCAGAGAGAGTGTGCAGCGTCCTATTGATCCAATTTACACCATTTTACACTTGGGGCTGTCCAGTACAAGGACCTCTACTGATGGCCACTGATCTGCTTCACTGCAAACATAAGAGTGAAGTGCCTTATTCAAGGTTATCTCGACAGTGGTTGAGGAAGAGGCGAAGATACTTCCAGCACCCAAGTTTTGCCAAACTGTTCGTGCCAATAAATCATTTACATTTACTCAGAGGTGGGGGACTCGAGTCAGAGCCCTGCATCAGGTCGGGTACCTGGTGGGTAAGCCGCAAAAAAGATGATTTGCAGGTGATATTTTTTCTTAATTTTATATCCCGGTTTGGTTCTCGGCGAAACAAAGAACATGCAGGTTGGATAACAAATATATTAAAATAAAATGAAAATAATAATTTAATGTTTTAACCTTTTAATCCTCTGACTGCTGACTTTGTGTGTGTGCTCTGTCCTCTGCACCAGCCGGAATATGAGAGCAGCTTCATTCAGGTGCGTTGCTACCAGGCACGTTAAAGCTCAATATTGTGAGAATAAGCAAAAAATATTCATTGGAATTGTATTTTCTGAATTACCTTCGTTTTAAAATATATTAACTTAGTTTCGTATGTATGAAATGTCCCAAAATGATCACTTTAAATGTGCTGCCTGACCAAATTATTTGAGCAGCGCATAGTTATCATAGGATTTACAGACAGCAGGTCGGGTCAGGTTGTGGAACTTATTGGCCATTTATGTGAGAAGCAGGGCAAGAGCCGTGTTGCAATTTGCAAGCCCATTTAATTTAAAATAGGATGGAAAAACATTAGGTAACAACTAAATGAGAGCAGAGTTGTTCTAAGAAATAGAGCATTCTATTTTTCTATGAATTGACGATAGGGCTGCAACTATTAGTCAACTAATCGATGACTCATCGACTATTAAAATAATCAGTGACTATTTTAGTAGTCGACTTATCAGTTTGAGTCATTTTTCATAGAAAAGTACTAAAAGTACCCCAAAATACTCCTATTGCAGCTTCGTACGTTCAAATATTGGCAGCTTTACACACTCTCCCATGACGGTGAGTACGAAACAAGACGGTAGATGACATAATTTTGGGGTTTGGGAGAGACAGACCGACATTTTTCAACATTTTAACACATTTTTCAATAAAATGATTAGTCGACTAATTGAAGAAATAATCGACAGATTAGTCGACAATGAAAATAATCGTTACTTGCAGCCCTAATTGACAAGCAGTTTCACTTTCACTGCACCTGGCGTTCTGCTGCTCTGTCTGTGCCCAGAGTACGCTCTTCACTCTGAGAGTGTGGTGCTCTGAATAACAGAAGGGTACATATATGTTCCAACAGCACTCTGAGTGAATGGTCCACCTCCAAAAATAAAAAAAAAATGTTGCGGCGAATGCTTTTTTGAGACGAGTTGCCACAAATAGATGAATGTGTGGAAAACCCTGGTCTTGCTTGACTTACAGCAGGGACTTGACTTGACTTGCTTGATTATCACCACAGTAACCTGGGACTTGCTTGAGACTTGCACATACAGTACAGGCCAAAAGTTTGGACACACCTTCTCATTCAATGCGTTTTCTTTATTTTCATGACTATTTACATTGTAGATTCTCACTGAAGGCATCAAAACTATGAATGAACACATGCATTCAATCGATGAGCTTCAAGAGGTAGTCACCTGAAATGGTTTCCACTTCACAGGTGTGCCTTATCAGGGTTAATTAGTGGAATTTCTTGCTTTATCAATGGGGTTGGGACCATCAGTTGTGTTGTGCAGAAGTCAGGTTAATACACAGCCGACAGCCCTATTGGACAACTGTTAAAATTCATATTATGGCAAGAACCAATCAGCTAACTAAAGAAAAACGAGTGGCCATCATTACTTTAAGAAATGAAGGTCAGTCAGTCCGGAAAATTGCAAAAACTTTAAATGTGTCCCCAAGTGGAGTCGCAAAAACCATCAAGCGCTACAACGAAACTGGCACACATGAGGACCGACCCAGGAAAGGAAGACCAAGAGTCACCTCTGCTTCTGAGGATAAGTTCATCCGAGTCACCAGCCTCAGAAATCGCAAGTTAACAGCAGCTCAGATCAGAGACCAGATGAATGCCACACAGAGTTCTAGCAGCAGACCCATCTCTAGAACAACTGTTAAGAGGAGACTGCGCCAATCAGGCCTTCATGGTCAAATAGCTGCTAGGAAACCACTGCTAAGGAGAGGCAACAAGCAGAAGAGATTTGTTTGGGCCAAGAAACACAAGGAATGGACATTAGACCAGTGGAAATCTGTGCTTTGGTCTGATGAGTCCAAATTTGAGATCTTTGGTTCCAACCGCCGTGTCTTTGTGAGACGCAGAAAAGGTGAACGGATGGATTCCACATGCCTGGTTCCCACTGTGAAGCATGGAGGAGGAGGTGTGATGGTGTGGGGGTGTTTTGCTGGTGACACTGTTGGGGATTTATTCAAAATTGAAGGCACACTGAACCAGCATGGCTACCACAGCATCCTGCAGCGACATGCCATCCCATCCGGTTTGCGTTTAGTTGGACGATCATTTATTTTTCAACAGGACAATGACCCCAAACACACCTCCAGGCTGTGTAAGGGCTATTTGACCAAGAAGGAGAGTGATGGAGTGCTGCGGCAGATGACCTGGCCTCCACAGTCACCGGACCTGAACCCAATCGAGATGGTTTGGGGTGAGCTGGACCGCAGAGTGAAGGCAAAGGGGCCAACAAGTGCTAAACACCTCTGGGAACTCCTTCAAGACTGTTGGAAAACCATTTCAGGTGACTACCTCTTGAAGCTCATCGAGAGAATGCCAAGAGTGTGCAAAGCAGTAATCAGAGCAAAGGGTGGCTATTTTGAAGAAACTAGAATATAAAACATGTTTTCAGTTATTTCAGCTTTCTTTGTTAAGTACATAACTCCACATGTGTTCATTCATAGTTTTGATGCCTTCAGTGAGAATCTACAATGTAAATAGTCATGAAAATAAAGAAAACGCATTGAATGAGAAGGTGTGTCCAAACTTTTGGCCTGTACTGTATGTGACTTACTCCCACCTCTGCATTCACCAAAATTTGTTATAGACTTGGTGAAGAGGTATAGAAAAGATTTAGCAGGAAATACTGACAAATAGCACAAGGCAAAATCTAACACTCATACTAGGGATGCACAATATTGTATTTTTTGTCGATACCCGATATGTAACAATTCATTTGACCAATAACCAATACCGATATATCCACTTTTTCCCCACCTAATTGTAGTGATCATCAAGTCTCTTCTGTTGCGGAATTAACATCATATTATGCATGCATACTCTTATCAAGATGGCCCATCAGCAGATGGATATATGCGATACAATACTTTCTGATTTTATCAGAGCCAATATTGGTGATACCAATGATATGCCAGTATTACTGGCATACCTAACTAAAACACCATACATTATTTTTTTTTTTCTTTTTTGTTTAAAAGTTCAGGTTGTTGTTGAGGTAACAGGAGAACAACTGAACCTAAATGTTTTATAATTGAAGAGAGTTTTCAAGGGTTTTACTTCCACCATCATGAAATGGAATATTACAGACTTTGCTTTATGAATAATGCACAGGCACTTTCATAAAGCAGACTAGTTGATCCCAACTTTGGTTTATTTATGGCATGATGGCAGCTGGGTAAAAAGGTAATGCTGATACAGATACACGTTCTGTATGAAAAGACCTTTGTTTTAACATTTCAGTTTACCTTTCATGGCCCGCGTTTCGTGACTGCTAACTTAAACTCAAAATCTGACATTTTCTAGCAGTATCCCTCTAACATGTAACATCAAAGGAGCAGCATGAACTTTTCACACCTCCTTGCAGGTCAGGCTGGTACTCTCAGCCCCTCATAAGAGCAGAGAAGACACCTTGAGGTAGAGAGACAGGGAAACCTTTTCTCAAACTACACTACCCTCAGGTACAGTAGGTTGTCGGTCTCAATAAAACATGGGATTTGATTGCTGAAGGACACATTCTGGCTGCAGCAGGAATTTAAACTCGGATGTTTTGTTCCTTTAATGGTTCAGTCACTGGAAATAAGGTACTAGAGCGAGTCCCAACGGAGCAAGACTCCCTACTGTTTATTATTAAGTGCCAAAGCTCTTGGTGACAATAGTGCTAATAGTTTTATTTCATTACATGACAGCAAATCAAAGCAAATGGCTGCAATTTACCACATGTCTGGCCTGTGTGTTATTACAATAATTAAGTCCAAGGATTATGAAAGTATGCAAACAGTGATGTTGTTTTCTTTCCTGTCAAAAGAATGTAATGCCAGATCCTTCCAAGTACTGTGGACCCTACAAGCCCAAGGCTACACTGCTACGGAACAGGAGGGCACAGCGTGCCAGTATACACTCCCATGACACCATAGGTAGGTTTTATCTGTTAACACAGTCAGCTCTCCTCTGGCATTTTATACCGTTTAGTATTTAAGCACTTCATTAAATCTAGACATGGATGAGAGAGTTTAGGAGAATAATGTGGCAAAAAGGAACATAAACGGACCTATTGAAGAAAAGGGGAGCAGGGAATGGTTCAGTTTTGAGGTCTTGATTTTTTATTTCTGTCTAAAAGATCAAATCTAGAGAAATAGTAACGACTAATTATTGCTATTTTTACGTGCCTACACTCAAGTGGATTTCAGGTTTTGCTGATCCAGTGTAAAAGCTTAAACTGCTTTGATTTTATGCAACCAGCTGGACCAGTATTTGTCATTACCACAATCCACACATTCTTGGTGTGGACTGTATAATGACAAATACCGGTTAAGCATAAAATCAGAAAGTAGTCTACATCTGCAACCTGTGCAACAGGGTGATCACGCTTAATCCAACTTTTATTGCATTATCAATAAGCAAAATGACAACGTGATTATTACGTTACGAAACTGGCCAACAGAGCCACCGTTGTCTGACAGGCCATGTGCAATGTACTGCAGAGCCGAGGGTCAACATGAAGGAGATCAAATTTCAGTAGATATGGGACAGGGAAAGATACGCACAGTGCATGATGTGTTTAAGTTCAGAGAACAAATGAGGTAACATGTAAACCTGCGGGAGAAAAAAGTCGTGGCTGCACTCAGGAGCGCTGCTAAGTCAAGTGCAAGACCTCGTGGTTAAATTTGGTACATTGGTCTGGTGTTTGCCTTAAAATCAAACCGGTTTTAAAACATTTGCACAAGCTGTACCCTTACCTGCCCCATTTTTAATGTGGTCTGAGCTGGACTTGTGTACTGATAAAGGCACCTGGAGTCCCGAGGAATTTAGTGTTATGCTCACTAAAAACCGTCAGTAGCATAAGCACTACCTCATGTGATGGCCTCATGTTTAACCCTTTGAAACCTGGAGCGACATCACTTTTCTTTTGCTGCTTTCAGACGCCTTTCGCAAGTATTTAAACCTTTGAACCCTGAGCAAACTGGTGTGATGTCTTTCAAAAACATGGGGAAAAAGGCAATGAGCAACTTGGAAAGAAATGTCCCACAAATTATAAAACAATTATAAGATTTAGAAAATTATTTTAAATTATGTTACAGAATTAATCTAATTTTTTTTAGCATTCTTCCAGGTTATTCTCTTGTTTGTTTGCTTTTTCTAAATTTTGTATTTATTTTTACAAATTTTTCTCTTTTTACTAGTTTCTTTCAAATTTTTGGGGGGCTTCTTCCCATGTTTTTAAAAGACAATTTGCTCAGGTTTTAAAGGGGTTAAATAACTTTGCTGACTTTTATTTGGCTACTAGGATGCACTGGTGGTGGCTGACATTTCAGTCGCAGAAAGGGCTGGACCCCTGAAAACGTCTAGTGAATGGGCCCTCACCAAATCTGCTTTATTTAATTCAGTGCATGTGCATGCTCTCTCTCCTAGTTTAGATCATTTTTTATCAGATCATATGGCGTTCTCTTTTTTTTTTTGTTTTTAACAATGGCTGCGCACAAAAAACTGATTTACTGATTTCAATCAAGTGGTTTTCTTAAGTAATGGTGAATATTTTGTTTCAAATTAAAATGTGTTTAATATAATTATTTTTGGCATCAATGGGCCCCTCTGGCAGCTGCGCCCCAGAAAGCTTTCCCCCCATTTCCCCCCTGAGCAGTAGCTCAGTCCATAGGGACTTGGGGTGGGAACAGGAGGGTTGCCAGTTCAAGTCCCTGTCCGGACCAAATAGAGAGCGTGGACTGGTGACTGGAGAGGTGCCCTTGAGCAAGGCACCGAACCCCCCAACCGCTCGGGGCGCCTGACAAAGGCAGCCCCCTCACTGTGACATCTCTCCACTTTGTGCATGTATAGGTCCTGTTTGTGCATGTGTGTGTCTTTCGGACCTGTGTGTTAATGACAAAAGAGTGAAAAAATTGAATTTCCCCTCAGGGGGATTAATAAAGTATATTAAAAAAAAAATTTAATTAAATTAAAAAATTGAATTCAGTACAGTATCTCTTCCTTTGTTTTGGCACCAGGGATGCTTGCTCTTGATCAAGATGGCCACGTGGCTGCTGGTACATCGACCAATGGACTAAAACACAAAGTTCCAGGGTATGTAGATTTGTGTTATCATCTAAACTCAAAGTCCACTCTCAAAAGAGACATAAGCATTCAGTATTTTAAATATGCTACCTAAAATGAGTGTACATGTAACAGTGGTGTATGTTTAAACCTTGTCTTGCAGTCGTGTTGGGGACTCTCCTATCGCTGGAGCAGGGGCCTATGCTGATAGTTCAGCTGGTGCTGCTGCCGCTACTGGAGATGGAGACGTCATGATGCGCTTTCTGCCAAGGTACCTATTGTTTGAGATGATTTCTCCCTTAATCCAAAATGTAGTCATCCATCAGAATTTTTCCAACTGTGATGCATTTAAAAAGCCATGAGACATGCTGTCTGGATCACAACTCCTATTCAGGGTTATAATAATATGACCGTTTCTTGGCCTTTTCCTTGCCGGAAGGATTGTGTTGTAGAGAATATTGATATCTGTGACACATGTAGTTTTTAAACAGCCAATTTCTGGTGTGAACCTCTTGCTGCAAGTGTAACAATGGTATTATAAAGTGTGGAGGCGTGACTACATTGCCCCAAAACTGTCATTTGTACATTGCAGAGAGGAGGCAAGATTTTTTTAGAGACTAAAGCTGCTGTTTGTTTCCAGGCTGTGAGAATATGCCAGTCTCAGAAGGCTTATTTTTTAAGATTTATTTATCCAGGATGGTTTCAGGAGCACACATACTGTTTTTTTTTTTAAGTTGCACTCAGCTTTACATTCACAGTCACACACAACCACACCTGAGGGCCGTCTATTTCAATCATAGTTTTCTGAGTCACTTCCTGGAACGATTGGGGGTTGTGTTTTTCAAGAAGACCTTGCTACTAGTGGACTGAAATGTGTTTATCATTCAGTGTCCGTGCCCATTTTTTTTTGCCTTTTCAGGGACTTCACTGTCAAAATGTAGCAGTAACACATCATCACCAGCAAAAAGGCTGTTTTTAAAATACATCTGTTGTGTATGTTGGTCCAAATATCCTGAATCTTCCCTTTAACAAGTGTTATGATACATTTTTCTCAAACTAATTAGCTTGCTATCTTGTGCGGAAAATAGCACCTTACATGGTACATCTCCTGTCAGAGGTACTCACTGAGAAATAAGCTTGACACATTTTCCACTTAAAAATCCCCAATGTCAACAGAGGTTGATTTTAGGAAATTGCAATGTGTCACTCATTGTTTTATACATTTGACCTCAGGCTAATGGAGTTAATGGTGCCTGTAGTGTCTGTGTAGAGCAGGTAATTTGCATTGTGGTGATGGTAAATTACTACATTTTCTCCCCATTTACTGATTATACACACTTGTGAACTCCTAAAAAGTAGCGTAACAACTCTTTTGCAAACCACAGTGAGGCTGGAAGTCTTATTTTTATAATCACATATAATCCCTGTTTCTTGACATCAGATTTGTTTGCATTACATTCATCCCATGCCATAATCTCAGTCACATCCCCATCATCATGCTGGTTGGTGGCCCTGAAAGCACTCATTAGTTTTGCCTCATGTGTACTGCGTGTAATCCTGCCAACAGTTACTTGGCCGTGGAGCTGATGAGGGCCGGGGCAGATCCCTCGGCAGCCTGCAAGACGGCCATTTCCAGAATCAAGAGGCATTACTCAGAGTTCTTTGGAGCCATCATCTGTGCTAACACAACAGGCCATTATGGTGAGTGTTAAGGTTCACAAATACAGACTGTTCAGCTACTGCCAAAGGTGTTATGACACACACCTGATACACACACTCACATGTACAGGGGATGAGGACAAGCATGTGTATGCATACTGTAGATATATTAATGAGGGCAGTCTATCTGAAATGCATTTATACATAATTCAGACAGCATGTTAAACTTCCACAATGAAGTTCTGAGAAATGTATTCAAAACATTAACAACACAGTCCAGTGAAAACTGTGCCTGACCATAAAATATCTCCATGAATAATAAAACAGTCGGCTGTAATCTCAACAGGTTCCTGCTTCTTTTTGGTCATCATTAAAATACTACTGCTGGTTACTGAGTTTACACATGCTTATAGAATATGGGCATGTTTGAGGATTTAAAACAGGACTTGTTCTAAAACCTAAAAAGTTAAACCAAAAGTAAACTGAACTTCCAGTATTATTTAACCAGCTATCTTTATAGAAATAGTTAGTCTTTTACAAAACGCTGCTACAGCAATAGACTGTCTTCAGGTATCAGTTTCAATCCAATAAATAAAGAAATTGATATTCTATAATATGTTAACTTAAAAGCAAACACATGACAAATCTGTCAGATTTTTTTATTTTATTTGTTAAATTCATTTTACTTCAATTTTATTTCATTATACTTGCATTATAACTCAGAGCAACCTGCTGAAAATAATAAAAGTGTAAAAGTTATCTGTCAAAATTATGCAGGAGATAAGGTCATTTAAAATGTATGAACATAATGAATAACTACACCTTTGATGACTGGATTGTTTAAACCTTTATTTCCTCAACATCTGGTTATCTAATGATCACTAAAACCTTGAGTTAAATAAACTTATGTTAAGCTCATGCAGGGTAACACATTTTTTTCTTTTTTTAAATCTGAATTTTACCTATTTAATTTTAGAAAGTTCAATCTATTTTTTTGAAATTCTAAAAGTTGGATTTTTGGATCTGAATTTGTGAAGACTGAAAAAAATATATATTCAGCTGTTCATACTGCACATCAATAAATTTTGTATTTTATTTTCAGAGGTGAATTCAGAACAAATAAATTGAAATACATGTTTTTTTTAAGGTAAAATACTTAAATTATATAAATTCAGTGGTGTTTAAATTTAATACATTTAATTTATATGCTTACATGCAACAAAGTTCTCAGAAATTCAAATTTAATATTATTTAATGACTTAAGGAATCACAGACATGCTGAGTAATATCATAAACAAAATATTTAACACTGAAATTAGGCCTGGTAATAAATAAATAAATAAATAAAATGTTTGGCCACTTAGCTTTGACTCAGATGACTGGCACTTTGACAGTAAACATTAGAGCCTGTTTGGCTTTAAAAGGATGAGTCAGACTTAATGTCAGTTTGTGATATTTGCTTTCACAGATGTCTTCAGAGATCTGTGTAATAAAGGGGATGTGATCAGGCTTAATAGCATTGGCACTGCAGATTACATTTTATTACCAGTATTAAACTGGGGTCTTAATAAGGACAAAAAAGTAAAAATGTTATCTTACCTATAGCACTGAATATTGTTCTCTCTCTGATCTCCAAAGGTGCAGCCTGTAACAAAGTCCCTGGCTTCTCCCAGTTCCATTTCATGGTGTCAAACTCAGAGGCAGACATACCGCTCCTGAAATCTGTGGACTGCTTTTAAACTGTGTGCAACTTAGATGAATGAATCAAGTCTCCATGCTGTATTTTTATGCTTGTGATTTTGCTTTTAAATCAGAAATAAAATGTAAACAAAAATAAATGTCACATGAAATTTTAATTATTGTTGTGATGACTTTTTTGCATTCTTTATTAATCATATATATATTTCTCATAACTTGGAAACATACGTGTCTGAAACATGGATATCGAAAGGACACGATACAAATCAAATGCAAATAGAGACTTGATCAGGTGCAGTTTTGTACCATTCTCCATTAAATGCACAGTTCAGTACAAATGTGTATTTCACAAAGTTCAGGATGTAATATGCAGGATTTTTCTACAAACAAAATATAGACTCACACAGATGTAATCCCTCTCAATCATCACTAATGACCCACAAGAAGTGTGTGGCAGTGTACTTATCTGCAGAGACTCTGCCCTCTGCCTGTATTTTCTTCTTATTTTCTTCGTATTTTTTGTGTTTGGGATGTTTATGAACTTGTACCCCCACAGCGCTGAGGTGAAGTCAGGGCTTTATAAAAAGGTAGTGACCAAGTGCCAGACCGTATGTAGCAGGCATCCAAGGAACACAGAGCTGAAAAATGCAAATATAGCGAGGCGAAACGCCAAACAAGTGTGAATATGGGGTTGGATTTTACTGTCACTTTTGCTGGCAAGTATGTTTACACAGAGTAAATAACAATCCTGCATAGTCTACCTTTAATGATTAAGTTGTCTGTTCCCTCTATATCCATTTATGTGTCTGGACGTATAGGCATCAGGGTTTCACTTAGATGTAATGCATTGCTAAGACATATTAACAACCAGGGAGGATGGATACCCCCGGTCCGTTCTCTGCCCACTGGAAAAAGTCACACTGTTTACCCTTTTGAAAGCTGCAAGTGTAGAAATTCCGGCCATTGTTGGGTCCAAGTTTCAGAACCGTCCTCATTAAACAGCGTTTCCCATGGTGACAGAAAGGGAAGTTCAGGTCAGCCCACTGCAACAGAGGAAACAAGGTTTTTATAAACTTTGTTGTGAACTTGTATTTCAGGCATTTGAATTTAATGCAGACATATTACAGTGACTGTGTGTGTACATGCACAAAATATTATGTTTTTTGCCCTTATTCCAAAAAAGAATATACTCCTACTAAGCTTTTAAAATAAGCTGAATATTTCACAAATATTTTTCCACCAGTGGCGGACTTGTTCAACCCTGTGAGTACACGCTCCCTCTTTCATTCAATGACTACCTCCTTGAAAAGGTTGGTATTGTGATATTTGTGCATATCCAAAAACCTGTTGATATCTTAATCATTCATAATGTTTAGAAGCGGAGGGTCACATGGGATAACATCCTGCGGGCAGACTACTTCCAAGTCTGATTTCTTATCCAGGCTGTGTACGACGGCCTACCAACCCCGGCTAATCTCCATGTCTGGGGCAAGAGTGAAACACCATCTTGTGCTCTGTGCTCTAGAGGAGAATCCCTCGAACACATCTTGAGTAGCTGCCCAAAGGCCCTTGCAGAAGGCGGCTACCACTGGCAACATGATCAAGTGCTGAAAGCAGCTGCCGAGATGGTAGCCTCAGCCATAACCACCAGCAAACACCATCGCCCAAAGACGATCATCACCTTTGTTAAGGCTGGAGAGAAAAACATCCCACAACCAAGATCAACAACTGGCCCAAGAACGAAACATCCCAAGCACCAGGAGCTGACTAAGCAGTGCAGGAGGCGGGCTGGAACACCCACTGTGACCCTATCAAGGTGAGATGTCGGGGCTTTGCAGGCCGGTCGCTCTGCAGGGTCCTCGCAAAGCTGGGGATAGTGGGGCTGGCTAAGAGGAGGGCCATGAAGAATATCATCAGTGCCACAGAGAGAGCCACTAGGTTCCTCTAGCTGAGGAGGGAAGCCCCGTGGTCAACTGCTGCTGAGATGCAAGCCGGGGATTGATAACCTCCAGCGGGGTCGCCTGGGTGAGGGTGTCTGATGTTTGAAAAGACCTTAAACGCCCGATGACCTTAGGATACATCACTGATGATGCATCCCAGCACATCCACAGGATGTTTTCTATACACTAAAAAGTAGGTTTGTTTCTCCAAATGACCAGAAATGTGGGCATTTTTTGGGGGGCCTTGCAAACTGTTGGCGAGGTGGTGTGTGTACAGCGTGTCCATGACAGCGCACAGAGCTGACAGTAACAGACAGGGGGCTGTGTGTTGCAAACTGCAGTAAAAACCCTTATTGATACACATATTCTGAATACGCTGTATACATGTCACATGAATGCTTCTAAAGCCAGAATAATTTCGGCGTATGGAAAATGTTTAATTCGGAAAAAAGATATGCTGTTTACATGACCCATATCAAATTCAGATATTGTCATATGTGAAATAATAGTGGAATACTGGTCTGCATGTAAATGTACCCGATGTTTGTGGCTAGGCTTAAACCAATGATGCTTTAAAAGAATATTTTTTTTCCCATGGCAATGCCACAGAGATACGCTGGTTTCCATTTTCACCTCAAAGAAGTTACACTTGGTCTCTCTGGGCAGCGAGCAGGCGTAGAACTGTCGTCCCTTATTCTCCCCCTCCTTGTGGACCACTCTGAGGACGGCTGGGCGACGATGGGATGCACAACAAGGGGCGCTGGGACTGGAAGAAATGGACGAGCTGCGGCTTGTCGCCTCTACTTTGCGCGTGCTGACAGGCGGTGAGGAAAACAGTCTTGTTAGTTTAAAATAAATTGAAAATGAAACACGAGCACACCTGTCACATCAACCCTTATTAGCGAGCAAACCACCCCTCTTCAGCCTTGTGTGGTGATATGTGTTAGTGATAATGGTATTTGCATGGTAACCTACTATTGCTATTCATCAATCTGAACTTTTTTTTTAACAATGTTGCACTGAAAATTCCACCGTCAGATGCTTTTTTATCCCACTTATCTCCCTGAGGTTGCAAAAAACTTCTCTCATTATAAACTTATTCATGAATAGCCAAGCGAGAGATTCACTCACCCTGAGTTGGGGGCTCCATTTTGAGCATTGTTACTGGGAAAGAGACTGTGATCAATTCTCATTTTCTTGGATGGGTGACTGTAGGAGGCCAGTGATTCCCCATTGGACAGCTCGGCACTTTGCCTCTGCCAGCCACCAGAGGCATAATTGGGGCTTGTTGTCCCTTGGCAGACACTGTATTTATATAAACCTCGCTCTGCCGCCAAGGAATTCAAATGACTGCCGGCTGGGGAGAGTGGGGAGTTTACAGGCTTTGGCTTCTTGCTCAAGTCAGAGAAAACAAGGGTGGAAGTCCCAAATGCAGACCTCCAGTTGACTTTGAGCTCCTCTTGTGGCTTCTTGAAGGCAGTACAGGGATATTTAATCAAATCGCTGGTGAAGGGTGATGCCTCAGTGTTAATGTCATCTTTGTGGACTGTGAAGACGGAGCCAGAGTCAGAAACTCATTTCATGTTCAGCAGCTGCAGCTTATTCTGATGCACTGGCTGCTTCTCATAAAAATGCAGGTTGTTGTTGGCTTTAAGTGGTTATCTTGCCATAAAATTTACCAGTAAGCGGCAGACGGCCGCGCTGTCGTCAAATAAAATGTCATACAATCTGTTGTGGTGAAGCCCTTATGCAAAATTCTGTGAAATGAGTCCCCGTATAATAAAGCTGAATATAAGTACGTGTTTTCAGTAATGGCGAACTACAATGCCTGACAGAGTCATTAACACAGAGCTGTGAATAAGCACTACTCTCCCCTCCCTCAAAAACCATTAATGTGCCCTTGAGCAAACCACTTAACCCCCAGCTGTTTTAGAGAAGCAGCTCAGTGGTCAGCAGTAGAAATATGTAACTGTACAAATGCAAATCGGGGCATTACTGAGGAGAGCAAGTGTGCTCAGTCAACTTTCCCTGGAGAAATAAGAGTCCATTAATAATTTCACAGATTTCAAGGGAAGACACTGCCAATGAAAACTGTTTTTTCATGCACTGGTCAGTTTTGATATTTTGGGCTGTTTTGCTTTGGTGAAATGTCTTCTTTAAACTAGTGGAAGGAAAACATCCAAAATAAATACTTTAATTTAGTTCAGATTTCTGTTCTGGAAAATGTGTGTTAACAGTGAATATTTAATTAGATAATGCCTCATTTGCATATTTAAACATCAAATTCCAGTTATATTAAAATATTGTTTTAATATAACTACTCAACTGGGGAAGTTTTATGGTCAAATCTGTTAATTTTTTTGACCCAGTTCACCTCTGGTGTCTTGTTTTTTTGTTTAAAAACTGTAATGGAAATTCACAGTACATATCTTTAAAGGCCATGTTCTCAAAATGAATTTTTTGTCACACTCCGAACCAGAGATCTCAACTTCAGTGGCACTTACATACACCAAACTTTCCAGATTCCTTCCTGTCAATATTCTGAGGGGTTTTACAAAGGGCTTTTCCTACATCATTTATAGCCTGATTTATAGAACATTTTACCCCTAAAAACATGGTGGTGGGCGGTTTCCTCGGACAAGAATCTTGAACCTGGCTTTATCCGATGTCCAGATTTCTGTTCTGGTAATGTGTGCAAGTCAGGACATCTTAAATAAGATAATGCATCATTTGCACATATAACTTACTTAAAAAAGAGCCCTTACTATAAATAATAAATAAAACTTAATGGCAATATCTATTGGTTAAAAGTTTAAGCCTATTCACCTGCAGTGTCTTCCCTTAAAAGGAATAGTTTATCTAAATATGCAGATATTGTAATAACTCACCCAAAATCATTTCACTTTAAAACTGGTGAACTTTGCACATATATATGGAACATTTAGATTCAGACGACTCAAATTCATTTCAATTTTGACAACACCTTTAAACTCATGTGGTTGCAAGTACAGCCCCTGTAAAAAGTTTTCACCTTCCCTTGGAAGTTTTCATGTTTTAATGTTTTAAAAAAGTATTTTCCAAACTTTTTTAAAACATGTAACATCTTTGAAATATGTTTTTCAGCAGAATTTCCCTGACCTGTGCTAAACATTTCTGGTAGAAACACACAGTGAGCGAACATGGACATGATTGTGTTTGTTGCAGCAGTTGACAGTTTA